GGTGATCTTGTGGTGTAGGAAGAGCTGCGTCAGGTTCTTGCTAAGTGCATGGTGGCTTTATGGCGCTTCCGGCCTCTCCTCTTTCCGGCGGTGTTATGAGCAGTTCTGAGCATTCGATAACTGCCTCCAAGAGCTTTACCAATAAACGGTTGAGTGTTGTGCTCGATGAGCGGAATTTCCTGCTTTGGAAGCAACAGGTTCTACTAACAGTCAGGAGTCATCGACTGGAGAAGCTACTTTCTGGGACGTCTATTTCGCCACCTGCGACGGTTGTGCTGGAGGATGGCACGGTTGCTGAAAATGAAGATCATGAGGTCTTTGTAGCCCAAGACAGTGCCTTGGCCTCGTGGCTACTGTCTACGATCAGCCCGTCCTTGTTGCCACATTTAGTGGGGGCTGAAACTGCTGCACAAGTCTGGAACACTGTGAATAAAATCTTCGTCTGTAAGTCTGCGACGGCGGTAATGAATCTGCATTACCAGCTTAAAGCAGTTCATCAAGGAGAACTAGGAATGCGGGGCTACATATCTCAAGTTAAAGAGATATGTGATGCCTTAGCATCGTGTGAAAGTCCAGTCTCGGAGCTGGAGCATATTGCAACCATATTGAATGGACTATCAGTTGAATACAGGCCAGTGGTTACTGTTCTTTCAGCCAGCCGTGATGCCTTAACTCTGGAAGGGGTTGTGTCTGTTCTTGTTGATGCTGAGACTCAGCAAAAGAACTTTAGTAGATTTGACAACATTACAGCTGCAGCTAATGTTGCTCAAGTAAAATCATCCATGGATGAAAGAACCGCTCGATTTGCTAGGCAAGATCAGGCTGCGTCAGAAAGGCATGTTACCTATAATGCTCAAGCTGGTCGTGGTCGAGGGCGTGTCAAAATGCAGTGCCAATTGTGTGGCAAGAATGGCCATCTTGTGAATAGATGCTGGTACAGGTTCGATAAGTCGTTCTCGGGTGTCGATGAATCTGACCCAAGGAGTTCTGACTCAAGGAACTCGTTTAAAGAACGAGTACCCACAGCTAATATTTGTCATTACAATGCTAATAAGTGCTCGTGTGCAAGTAGACCGGATGGAGGTGCTGCTGGGCTCAATGATCAAGAACGGTTCAAGCCTAGTGCAAATGTAGCTGCTACAAGTGCAACCCTTGGTTCGTGGTTTGTTGATTCAGGGGCGACACACCATATTATACCTGATGCCACAGAACTAGTAGATGGCTCAGATTATACAGGGGCTGGTAAGCTGACTGTAGGCAACGGTAGTGGTTTGTCTATTACTAAAATTGGTCAAGCGTCTATTTGTAATGCATCGCGTGCTTTAATATTAAGTGACTTACTGCATGTGCCTTCAATTACTAAGAAGTTAGTGTCGGTTTCCAAGCTTGCTAGGGATAATGGAGTATTCTTGGAGTTTCATGTTGGTTACTGTATGGTTCGGGATGAGAGAACTGGTGTTGTGTTGCTGCGAGGAAGAGAGGTTGATGGCTTGTACGAGTTCAGTGCTGCGTTGTCTACTCGAGGTCGAGCTGCTGAAGCAAACATAGTGTCTAGCCCTAGTAATAACTATGTATTGTGGCATGATCGTTTAGGTCATCCATCTTATAAGTTCTTACTGCAAATTTGCAAGCTGTGTAATGTTGCTTTGCCAAGCAATTTGAATAAAGATTTGCTTCCAGTATGTGTGTCATGTCATATGGGTAAAAGCCATAGGCTGCCGTTTCATGCATCTCAAACTCAATATGAACGACCGTTTCAGCTGGTTTTCTCTGATTTATGGGGTCCGGGACACGTTGAATCAAATGGCTTCAGGTACTATGTGTCATTTGTAGATGCCTTTTCGAGGCATTCTTGGGTGTATCTGCTGAAGAACAAAGGGCAGGCAGTTCACGCCTTTCAACTATTTCAGAAGCTAGTTCGGACTCAATTTGGACAGGAGATTAAGGCTGTATAGACTGATTGGGGAGGTGAGTACCGATCTCTGTCAACTATGCTTGCACAAGGTGGGATTCAGCACCGAGTGACATGCCCGCATACATCCCAACAGAATGGGGTTGTCGAGAGGAAACACAGGCATTTGTTTGAAATGTCGTTGACTCTGTTAGCTCGAGCTTCGTTACCTCTAAAATACTGGTCATTTGCAGTAGTTACGGCAGCTCACTTAATCAACAGGCTGCCAACTAAGGTTCTTCAAGGTTGTACTCCTTTTGAAAAATTGTTTGGACAGCCTCCTACGTATGATCATTTACGGGTATTTGGCTGTAGGTGTTTTCCTCATCTGCGGTTGTTTCAACCCTATAAGCTTGCATATAGGTCACAACCATGTGTGTTTTTGGGTTATAGCATGAACCATCGAGGGTACCAATGCTTAGCGACCGATGGACGTGTGTATATGTCTCGGCATGTCGTTTTCGATGAACGTGAGTTTCCGTTTGCTAAGTCTGGAGCTGTAACGAATGTAATTCCTGCAGAGAGTATGTGTAATGGCAATTCGTTGGTTGTGGTTCCTGGTGCACAAAGTGTTTGTGGTAATTCCCCACAAGCTGTTGTGCAAGAAGCTTGATCTGCTCCGATATGCACTGGAGAAGTACCAGAGGTTGCCGAGGTTGGAGCTTCTAGCAGCAGGGTGAATCAACATACTGAAAGTGTTAGTGTTGGTGAAAGTCAAACTGGTAACTTAGTCGGAGAGAATCAACATACTGGAAGTATTAGTGTTAGTGAGAGTCGTAATGACAGCTTAGTGGGAGTGATCCAAGATCAGGTGTTGGATAATGAGACAGGTTGTGTTGCGAATACTTCAGGTCATGTTGAGGCTGCCTCGCTATGTCCCTCGGTGCAAAATGCACATCCAATGGTCACTCGTAGTAAACGAGGAATCTTCAAACCAAAGGCGTTTGTTGCACAGAGTCGAGGCGATAATGGAGAGCCGTGCTCGGTGGCTCAGACACTTCAAGATCCGCAATGGAGGGAGGCAGTGCTAGCTGAGTACGATGCATTGGTCAGCAATAGTACTTGGACGCTAGAACCACTACCAAAAGGGCGAGTAGCGGTTGGCTGTAAGTGGTTATTCAAGGTCAAATTCAATGCAGATGGGTCTGTGTTGAAGCATAAGGCGCGTCTTGTGGCAAGAGGTTACTCACAGGTACCTGGCCATGATTTCAGCGATACATTCAGCCCGGTCGTGAAGACAACAACAATAAATGTGGTATTATCTCTAGCAGTGGCTCGTGGCTGGAGTTTGAGGCAGGTGGACGTTAATAATGCATTCCTTAATGGTGAGCTTGGAGAAGAAGTATACATGGTTCAGCCACCAGGATTCGAACGAGTGGCCAGTGATGGTACTCGGCTGGTGTGTAGGTTGAAGAAGGCCTTGTATGGGCTGCGTCAAGCACCACGTATGTGGTATGCTAAGCTGCGTAAGTTTTTGCTGGAGCTTGGGTTCTGTGGAACCACAGCTGATGCGTCGTTGTTTGTTCGTCGAATGGGTGGTGTTCGTGTGATGGTGCTTGTTTATGTCGATGACATTATCATCACTGGTGAGTCTAATGTTACTATTAATGAGGTTGTGCGCTTGCTTGGTGACAAGTTTTCCTTGAAAGATTTGGGGGAGCTGGGGTATTTTCTTGGTGTTGAAGTCCATAGGACTTCTGAGCAGTTGGTACTGAGCCAGCGTAAGTTCGTTCGAGGGTTGCTGGAACAAACTGGTATGCTTGCTGCTGGAACAAACTGGTATGCTTGCTGCTAAACCTGCACCTACGCCGATGGTGGTTTCGCCAAAATTGACTGTTGATGCTGGGAAGCCACTCTCAGACGCATGGTTATATCGAAGCATTGTTGGTTCTTTATTATACTTGAGTCATATGAGGCCCGATATCGCGTTTAGCGTTAATCGTGTGGCTCAATACATGCATCGGCCTTGTGATGGTCATTGGTTGGCTGTTAAGCGAATATTGCGTTACTTAAATGGAACACTTGACTGTGGCTTGGTATTTAGACGTTCTTCTACGTCTGAAGTTTGCTGTGTAACTGCGTTTGCGGATGCTGACTGGCGAGTAACGTCGATGATCGGCGGTCGGTTTCTGGCTCTTGTGTATTTCTTGGCTGCAATTTGATCTCGTGGAGTGCGAAGAGGCAAAAGGCTGTGGCTCGTTCGACAACAGAAGCTGAATACCGTAGTATTGCGGATACCGTTGCTGAGGTGGTTTGGATTAAGTCATTGTTAGCAGACATGGGTGAAGCGGTTGATACAGCTTCGGTTGTGTGGAGTGATAATACGAGTTGTTGTTGCCATGAGTGCGAATCCGGTATTTCATGCACGATCGAAGCATATAGAGTTGGATATTCACTTTGTACGTGAGAAAGTTGAGTGTGGGGTTGTTCGTGTGAATTACGTACCAGCAGAGCATCAAGTTGCGGATGGCATGACCAAACCGTTGGCTAAGTCAGCGCACATGCTGTTTCGTCAGAAAGTTCAGATAGCAGAAAAGCGAACAGCTGAGAAGGACGGGGAGAATGTTGGAGCATGATTACATGCTTATGTGCGTGTGTGTGCAGCATGGTTTGGGGTGTGTGTGTGCAAGCAATTAGTGTGCAGTTGGTTAATTAGTTAGAGTGGTTAGAAGCAGTTATGAGGTTGTTAAGGCTGTGAACTTGTGTATAAATGTACTGAGTAGTCTTGGCTAATAACACATCTCTTTGTATCTTCTTGATAATCTTCAAGTTCTTATGCATAAACTTCAACAATTAGAGATAATGTAAGGTTGTATGCACCTTCTTCTCGGTGCATAATAGCGATTCTTTAATCGGTTCATGGACATTAATCCCAACTCATGGAAGCATCAGTTGTGGTATTTTGCTTAGCTGCATTTAGATTTGTTTGCTTGCTATGTTTTTGGCCTCATCGTTGGTAATATAAACGTAGGACCTATGTTTTGTGTCTTTATATCCCTCTTGCAAATAGCTGTGTTGTCTAAAATCTTACTTTAGGTGCAGAAGGAACATGAACAACTTGGTTCTGTCTCTTGTGCCGAAATTCATCAAGTTGCAAACCTTGATATTGCGCCAAGAGAATCCACAGCTGAAGGACGACGCTGTCGAGACGATTTCGAAGTTCTGTCACGATCTGCAGGACCTGGATCTCAGCAAAAGTTTCAAGCTTAGTGATTGCTCGTTGTATGCATTGGCCCATGGTTGTCCTAACCTTCAAAGGCTTAACATCAGTGGCTGCACGTCATTCAGCGACGAAGTTCTTGCGTATCTGACTAACTTTTGTCGAAAACTAAAAGTATTAAACCTCTGCGGATGTGTTAAAGCTGCAACCGACCATGCATTGCAGGTATATGAAAACAGTTTTATGATGGATTATTGTTTACTTGCTGATGAAAAAAGATGTTGCTCGCCTGTAAAAAAACATGACGAATTGCTTGAATTGGTTATCCGCACAGGCTATTGGACGAAACTGCAATATGTTGCAATCTTCAAACCTGGGTTGGTGTGACAATGTTGGTGATCACGGAGTCATGAGTTTAGCGAATGGATGCCCCGATCTTAGATGCCTGGACTTGTGCGGTTACATTCGCATAACAGGTATTCCTTTGCATTTGGTGCTTATTTTCCATTTCACGGTGCAATGTAAGATATATAGGTGAAGAATGAACTTGTTACTGCAGATGATAGCGTGATTGCTTTAGCAAATGAGTGTGTCCATCTGAGGTCCCTCGGACTGTACTATTGCCGTAACATCACGGACAGGGCGATATACTCGCTGGCTCAAAGCCGAATGAAGAACAAGTGTTTGACGTGGGAGTCGATGAAAGGTAGATACGACGATGAAGATGGCCTGAAAAGTCCGAATATAAGCCAGTGTACGGCCTTGACTACTTCGGCTGTCCAGGCATTATGCGATACGTTCCCTGCACTTCATACCTGCTCAGGAAGGCATTCCCTTGTCATGAGCGGCTGCCTGAACTTAACGTCCGTGCATTGTGCTTGTGCCGTTCAAGCTCATCGGACGTTCAACAGTATTTATCACTCTGCTCATTGGAGGGGGTGTTCAATGTTCATTTCTATGATATATATATATATATATATATATATATATATATACATATATATATATATATATATATATATATATATATATATACATATGAATGCAGACACACTATTGGATTCATGGTAATAATCATTATCATTGTAAATAGTAAAAAATTATTAAATTTATAAGAATCATTTATAATTTATTTTCTTACCGTTTATAACATTTTAAGTGTAACATGCTATTTACTAAGTTTAATAATTTTTTCAGTTCTAAATTATAACATTTTGTATTATATTTTTAACATGTCACATTTTTAACCATTCACACCGTTTATTAGCTTTATTTTAACCGCATAAGTTTCCGCTATTTGTAATACTACTTTATTGTAGCAAAAGAGCTTAACTTGTTTTGCATTCGTCATTTCAAGTTCTGTCAGAAAATGAATTATGTTGTCACAGCTATGGTCCTATATTCTGCTTCGACTGACGACCTTATTATCGTACTTTGCTTTTTTGATTTCCATGAAATCAAAGGATTCCCCAATTAAACACAAAAACCAATGACAATTTTTTCTCGGCATTGGACATGAGGCCTAGATTGAATAACAAAATACTATCAAATGACATTCGTTGGAAGCTTCCATCAGCATTACTTACCATGGATCTTTTTTTCACACGTCTAACAGTTGCTACTAAATGTGATCATTTTGGTTACTACATAAATTGACTTAGATGTTATACTGCAAATATAAAGAGATCAACTGATACATGCATCGTAAGGCTCACATCAAAGGAATAAGCAATAACTTTTCAAATGATCCACTCGTCTAAACCTTGGAAAAGATTAGAACAATAGCAGATTTACGACGACTTTTTGAATGGGATCTTGATCTTATTTGGTCAACATGTCTTCTGGATATACAACCGTCTGTCTCTTAGCTTTCCAACGGTTTTTGAATCGCATCAATCAGATATTGAAAACTCAAGATACATCAATTTTAGTGAAGACAACACATGCAGAAATTCTTATACGAGATTAATACGTGATTTTGTAAATATTACAAATTTTTAATATTTATATTGATTATTTGTAATATAATTTAATATAGGATAATGCATTATCTTTTAGGATTATATTTATTATTTTATTAGGAATTAAGGTTGAGTTAAAACATTATTTTTAGTTATTATTATTTTACTAGGAATTAGAGTTAAGACATGTTTAGTTTATTATTATTTTATTCATTAGTTATTTAGGACATTTAGAACTCAACCCCTATATAAAGGAGGCTTCATTCAACTTTATAAAACAGATTTCTTTGATTAATAATAGAACGAGAGTTCATTTTTGCAAGTGTTGATTACCTTGTGCCTTCGAAGCTTCTTCTCCTGGAGTTCTTTCAAGCTCTTGTGAGGGAGATTAATCTTCACACTCCAATTTACCTTTTCATCGCGACTAGGAGGGTTGGTTAGAGTCATTTATCGAGTTCTCCTTTTCATTGCGATTAGAAGGGTTCGATAGGACACTTATCCATCTATTTTCCACAAATCCATCTGCACCATCAATCATCTTTACCGTCCACCTTCATAAGAGAGATCTTTTGATTTCTTTATTATCTTATTTTATTTTCAATTTATTTATCTTTTGTTTATTTTGTTCTAATCTTATTGCCTTGATTCCAGCACCTAAAAGAAACCCTAAAGAATCCTAGTTGTTACCGCCACATTCCCCTTTTCATCCCCTTTGTTCTTCATCGAGTTTAGAGCTTTCTAGGTTTGATTCTTCAAAAAGAGCAACTTTCATTAATCCGCCACCATTTCTCTATCAATTGGTATCAGATTTAGGCCGATTCTTGGAAACAAGTAAGCAATCTTGCTTGTTCTTGCACACAAAACCGTCAAGGTATGCCAATGGAGCTAGCTCACAAAAGATTCATCGTTTCAAGTCACAAAAATTGAAAAAATTGCAAATGAATGAATTTAGGGATGATTTTCCCCATATCTTATATTCATCCTAATAGTAATCTCCAGTCCAAAATTCACCCCAATCTGAGTTTATTAGAGCCTTCAAATACATGATTCAAGTTTCATCGGCGGATTCGGTCTAGAATCTTGTTGAATTTCTTGAAAATTATACAGGAGGAATTTCGTGTTTAAAATTTCCAGATTCAAATTGAATATATTGAAGATCATTCAAAAAAATGAGAATTTTTGGAGATCAAGAACACCTTTGAACAAAGCGATCACGAAAAAACATATTGTTTGAGGACTCACCATTCAACAGTCTACTGGATACTACTAAAGGTATTTGGTTCTGAAATTTTACAGGTGGTTTCTATACGCATCTAAAGACATTCAATAATGTTTCCAAAATCTTTGGACACCGGTAACCCCCTCAAAAACGTTGTTCAAGTTGACCCAGCGTTTTCTAGGTTTCTGGTTTGGTTCTTTTTTTTCTTTGACTCTTAGTGCTTTAGGTTCTTTTGTTTTTACTTTTTATTGTTCTTTTGCATTATTTAGCACATTATATTTCTTGTGTTAGTAGGACTAAAGAGTTTGCATACTTCTTCCTTGTTTGCATTCTCATTCTCTTGGAGTCTAACCCTTGTTTGGCCTCTTAGAGCTTTTAGGTTTTCTTATCGCCTTTTCTAGTAATCAAACTCTGATACGAACTGTGGAAGACTACTTGGTAAAGTGAGTTTTAAAGAGTACAATATCGGCTTACTTGCCTCTCGCTGTGTTACTTTCTTGGAGTGACTTGTGAGGTTTCTTGCTTTGTTGAATTTTCTTTCTTTTATTTTTAGTTTACTTTACAATTTTCTTTTGAGTATTATGATTTCAGGATGGGTGACAATAACAACAAGAAACTTACGATTATCTTAGCCGCACTTGCCTGACTCACGACTCAAATTGAAAGATTTGATGAACTTAACATGCCGTGAGAGAACGACGAGAACCACAACTGGATCCACCAAACCAGAATCCAAGACCAAACAATGCTGAACTTTTGGTACCCAGGCGAGAACAACCACGTTTCCAAGAACCTGAACTCTTTGCAAAACCAAAGTTCACAATCTTGTCTTTCAAAGGAGATAACGATCCAGACAAGTACATCTATTTGGAAGTAAAAGTTTATCTCATGTTCGTATACCATGACTGCCCCCAAGCTAAACAAGTTCCCCTCATCACCATGCAATTCGAAGGATATGCTCGAACTTGGTGGATGCAAACAAGGAAAAAGATCGAGAACTTCCAAATTCAAGCAATCACTTCTTGGACTGACCTCAAACAAACCATTAGGAAGAGATTCCTACCGACACATTATACACGAGAAGTTAAACTATGACTATACCGACTTCGACAAGGTAGAAGTTCAGTTGAAGACTACTACAAGGAGATGCAGTCCTTACTCAATAAGGCTAACATAACTGAAGAAGAAAAGGACATCGTGTCAAGATTCGTCGTCGGCTTAAACTCAAACATCATTGATCTTCTTGATCTCCATGGATACGGAAACCTTGAAGATACACTAAAGAAAGCAATGACAATCAAAGAACAAATCCAAAAGAGATTTCGATTTAGAGAACACTACCAAGGTACTTCATGCATTTACCAAGGTAATCCTTCAAATTCTTCCTCATCTTCTACTTCACCTTCTTTAAAAAAGTCGAGAGATGACAAACCTGACAAGGAGAAATAACGACCAGCAAAGAATGACACACCTCCAACCCCTAAAGATCAAATGAGAATTTGTGAGGAGGTAGGGAAAGCAAAAACAGAAAAAGTTGAGAAAGAGGCAAAAACAAAAGAAGTCACTAGTTACAAAAGCCAAAAGAATAATGACCCATGGGATGTGAGTGAACCTAATTGTGAGAAGAAAATAGTGACTCAAAATCTATGTGTGAGCACAAAATAATTGAGAGAGAACCTTCTTTACAAACAACCTGCCATCTTTGTTCGCTTTAGGAAATCAATTGTTTCGATTTCTAACATTAACAAGGATTTGCCTAGTGTGTTTTCATCTTTGTTACAGGATTTTCAAGAAGTGTTAGGTGATCCACTTGACGGATTACCACTGGAGAGAGGAAAATAACACTAAACCAATCTAATTCAAGGTTCCATCATACCTCGTCAAACATACAATCTTGAAGAAACCAAAAAGTTAAATTTGTTACAAAAAGGCTACATCCAGGAAAGCCTTAGTCGTGATGCCATCTTAATGACGAAACATGATTTGAACAAGTCCATAGGCTTTATAGTTCGTGCACAGGGAATCCATATAAATGATGAAAAAGTAAAAGCAACACGAGACTGGTGTCAACACACCTTTTCGTCCTACTAGGATTCAAACTCCTAAAAATATGATAGAATTTTGCTAGGATTCAAACTCCTAAAAATAGGATAGAGTTCTACTATGATTTAAACTCCTAAAGATAGGATCCACAAGCACTATAAATAGCCATTGTAACTCACTATTGTAACAGACGATTTACAGACAAAATACAGAGGAAAGCACAGAAAATACAAAGGTAAAGCTATTGTAAACGATTCGAAAAGGAAATAAAAGGTAGCATTTTTTTTGATTCGTTCATTTCTCGCATGTGCACGTTATTTTTCTTGAGATTTGGTTCGAATAACTCAAAACGTGGGTTGTGCCGATGACCAAAAATGGGTGGGGTTTCGAAGTTTCGAACCTAGATCTATCCCGAGGCGTGTTCATTTTTTATCCCCCTAATACGCAATATCAACGTTAATTGTCTTTCAAATTTGGCCCCAATCTTTATTTTTCTTTTATATTAGTCATTTTATTTATTGTATGGATATTTTTATTTATTTATTATTTACATTATTGTTATTATATAAATATATATACGTATGTTTTTTTAAATGATTTTCAATTGATTTTTTTACACTATATATTATTATTATATATACATATATTTTTTAGATATTATTATATATATATATATATATATACTTT